GTAGAATTTTTGTGCTATACTCCATTCGCTTAGCTCGGCATATTTTGATAGATTCATTGTCGGAAACCTACAACACAACAATTCCTACTTCTCAGTATTAATAGCTCAAGTATACTACTATTGCAGAGTTCTTTCTTTGAAAAAAGAAGAATTATTCTAAATAGTAGAAGTGTATACTAAACCCATCAAATTTTGGGTAGTATATAGTTAAAAAATATATTTTAGTTGTTATAATTTAACATAACTATTTATTATATGGTGCAGATAAATAAATATTGATTGTCTGTAATTCGCAAAGTTCTATTTTATTTACTATTTAGTTTGTTTACTATTGATATTGGCTATAAGTACGTATACATGGTTGTATAGTAATTTTCCAGCCACTTTTAAATTCCCTAGACAGTTCGGACTGGGAATAGCGAACCGAGTATAATAGTCCTCTCGACGACTTCTGATATAAAAATCTAAATGACAAATACTATTTTTTACAATTTGTAGCGGGAGAATCAATAATATTAAAATTTTAGGGTATTACGTTTTTGCGGTATTGATATCAAATTTAATTTATATAGCAGACCTCGTACGAAAATTGTTTATTCGTCTGCTTGTTGGCGAGTGTCTCTGTTTCCGTATTATCTGTTTACTATTATATTCTGTCTGAAATTTTATAAATAGTTACATACACGTCCACAATCGTTTGTTTACTATTGAATATTACAGGAATATAATTTGTTGAGCCTTCTAACAAAATTTTGGGTGTAATATCTTGAATAATTTAAGATTTGTATGCAGGAAACCATATAAAGTAACTTGTAAGATACAATTTCCACACCAAAACAATCATAAAGTTAGTATTGAAGAATAATATATTATTGAAAAATATTACAGAGAGGATTATATGAGATCAGCGCGGTTTTGGAAACGAAAAACCTCCAAATTAAACTTTTTGACGAATTCGAAGTAGATCTTTAAGATATTTTGAATAAAACTCTTTAGCGCAACTTCCCTTATTTACCGGAAACAAATTAGTATCCCACCCTCAATTTTCCTTTAACAAAATTCAACAATGAAACAAATAACAACTTCATTTAATTTGTTTTAACCCAGTTTCCTAAAACTCGGTGCTCCTTTCTCCGACGACTCAAAAACTTTCGTCAAACTGAAAACCGTTGCGTAATAATTTTTGATTTTCTCTCTTTGGGTTTTTATTTAACATTGCAAAACTTCCTGAATACGCAATGTAGGTATTCTCTCTTGAGGTTTGTAAAGTTCACTGCGGAAATTAATGTTGTTTCTGAAACTTTTCCAGGAAATTTTCCTTATTAACTGTATACGAGGACTATTTGGGAAATTTTTAGTAGAGGTCATGAATTTGCATCTTTAAAAATGTGTTAATTGTTACGAGAAAACATTGTTACCAGACATTGTTACAAGATATTGTAACCCAACGCTCTACGTTGAGTGCCAATGGAGTTGAGTGCATTAATATCAAAAGCAAGAAAAAAATCGCAGAATCTAGTAAAGCAAAGAAACCATCACAAATTACACATTAATACGAATTACAAATCCACACGCGCACCAGAAATTAATTAACACGTATAATGCTCAATCAAAGAAACAAGGAAAAAAATTGACAGATGTAAACTACATTACACATTATTATAATATCAAAGAATCGAAAAATCAATACAAGGAAAGAGACAGATAAAGAGAAAAATATATAAGGAAGACTATGACAGAAACCTTGGTTCAAAGAAATGACATTATTGTAAGAACTCTTTACAGAATGAGAAAGTTGGTACTTTATGACACTTGATAATAAATAGAGGGACAGGGAAGAAACCAGATATGTCATTTCTTTTCACAACTGAGTAAATTGAATTTTAATGCCCAAAATCAATTATTTTAGATTTCAAAAGAGAATATAAACAGTAGTTTACATAAAACAGAAATTAACATTATTATTAAGTTTTATAACTACAGTTTTTTGGTTTACGAAAACTAAAGGCGGATTTATCCCAAAAAAATCTGCATCACTCACGGTTTTACAGGAACAAAAGCAGCAATGTCACCTAAAACAGACAAAAACAGCCGTCTTTATTTTTGAACTAAAAAAGACAATGTATTTTTTGATGTTTATTTATTTGTCAACATATAAATAATTTAACTTGAAGTTAAAAATGCAGTTAAAAAACTAGCCAGAAACAAATTACCAGGAATAGATATCTGAACTATATAAAGAAGGTAGCCATGATACCATAATGGCATTACAGCA